CCACCCCAGTAGCACCCGCCGCACTGCTCACAGCAGGGTGAGAAGCCTCATGGCCATGACAGCCCCTGCTTCAGGGCCTGTCCCAGGCACCTTGAGACGTGGTGTGACCCTACACTATGGCTGGCTCTGCCAGGTGACAGCGCAGTCAGAACTCCACATCAGGAAGGGTGGGGAGTGAGGAGCACAGGGCGGGATTGGACAGCCAGCACCCACTGGCACTGCAGAGCCCAGCTGGTAGAAAGCAGTGATGGCATTGCCTGACCCAGGCAGAAGGGCTGGATGCCCAAAACACTTGCCCAAGCCTGTGCCGCTACCCCAAGTCCCGGGAACAGCAGCTGGTCCAGCTGCCATGGCTGACAGCATGGGGCTCCAACACCAGCCCCCTCCATCATGTGGGAAAACACCTTCCCCAGCCCGAGAGTGGAAGGAGAATAATGGAATAGTTTGGGTTGGAAAGGACCTTAAAGATCATCCAGTCCCAACCCCCTGCTGTGGGTAGGGACACCTCCCACCAGACCAGGTTGCTCCAAGCCCCATCCAACCTGCCCTTCAACGCTTCCAGGGATGGTGCAGCCACAGCTGCTCTAGGCAATCTGGGCCAGTGTCCCACCACCCTCACAGAAGGAATTTCTTCCCATTATCTAGGAATAACGAGAAGCCTGTGCCAGATCTCTCAGAGGGCATTTCTGTGCCTGGCTGGGCACAGACCCATTCTCCTGCAGACCCCAGGGTATCACCCGTGCCCTGGGAAGGGATGACGGGAGCAGAGCCTATCGCCCTGTTCCCGCAGGCTGGTGCTTGGGGCTGGAAAGGCAGTGATATGGAGCCGAAGCCTTGCCACTACCAGCCTCAAGCTGTCCCCATGCTGTGCCTGACCTAGAGCTTGCAAGACCCTACAGCCACCCACTGCCTTGGGAAGTAGCCTGGCTTGTCCCCTTTGCTGCTGCCCACCCAGAGCGTCCAGTTCCCAGAGCCCCAGGGGTACAGCTGCTCTCAGGCTGCAGAATGTGGCAGCCCTGCTTCCCTTCCACAAGCTCAGACCAGGCTATTGCCAGAAACCCTCGGCCCTGCCTTGAGCCCGATGCTCAGGGACTCCTGTGCTCCTGGACTGACCCCGTAGTCCAGCAGTGCCACTGTCCTGTCACCTGAGCGCAGCTGTGCCAGCATTCCCTGGGGAGGGACAGGTGGCCATGGGGTGAGGACCAGGACACAGCTGGCAATGGCTCTCCTGACATCCTCAGTGAACTCTAGTCCTGCTCCCCAGCTGGGGCTGGCACTGGGAGCGGAAAGAAAGGAATGTATGAAGGCAGATGTGCTGCAGAGAGGCTCTCAGCCTCCACAGCCCCCAGGACGGGGCTCTGCGCAGCCGCCGGTGCTGAACCCCATCTGCCAGGGTGTGGGGGCCAAGCATCAGCACC